AACTCCGCCCCAAACCATCACAGAGCCACATCCAAATTTGTCATATTCCTGGACTGCTGCTGCACTGTATCGCTCGCCTGGGCGTCTGTAAACACGGAGACGACCATCGCAACGTGTTAGACGGAATCGTGATTCGTCAGTAAAAAGCACTGGCCTCCAATGTCGAAGTTGCCAATGTCGAAGTGCCAATTGGCTTCCAACAACCTATTTCTTACCGTCTGGTCGGAAATTTCTACACCAGTAGCCGTCCTTAGTGTATTTTGTAGATCTCTTGCAGTTGTGGTGCGGTTACGTAAAGCACAGTTGACGATGTAGCGATCTTGCAAATGTGTAGTTTTTCTCTTTCGACCTTGACCACGCCTTCGTGAGTATTCTCCCGTCTCACGGTATCGCTTCCAAAGTCTGTAGATAACAGAAGGGGCTACTCCTAGATCATTTCCTACATAACGCATAGTTCGACCCGCTTCAAGCAAAGCGATAGCTCGGGAGACATGCAATTCAGTCAGATCTGGCAATATGACCTAAACTCACTCGCTTCATTGAATAACAATACATCAAAAGGCTCACTTCAATTTCTATTAATACTCAAAATATTGAAAAAACTACTTAAAATGTGTTTTCTGTGATTAGAAAGTAATGAAAATTCAAAGACGTCACTTTGTTTATCGTCTACAATGCACATTTTAATTTTTTTTTAATAAAAAAAATACAAATTGAATTTTTTTATTAATTGTAGTAATTAACAAATTAACAAGGTAAAAAATAGCGTACAAGTTAATTTAAATCTCATTTTAGTTTAAGCAATAGAAAGGAGAAAAATCTTGTTCCGCTAATTGTTTTGAGCAGTATATATTACTCGCGTAAATAGAGCTTCGACCCACGCTTCCATTTAAAAAATTAATCTGACCTATCGAGAATACCTCTTCTCGCAGACAAGAGAGATTGGAGAGCAATCTCTCAAATACGTTCTATATTCTTGAGTATAATATGTGGACAGTTGCCGCACTTAGAAGCCAATTAAGTCCGTAGTGCATAAAAAGTAAAAGTCAAAAGTAAAAAATCAATTATTAATGTAGGTAACACAATGTACATCAAAAAAGAAATATACATTAAATGCTTCTAATTTTACATTTACTGCCAGTTCTCAAATCAAGGGCGTAGAACGGAAGAGAAGAACTGGCAATAAACTCTCCGCCACTCTTTTTAATCGCCAATTTTTTTGTTTTACACAGCGTTTGTAAGGAGCTGCAACCATTACACCATGTTCCACATCTTAAGTAATAAATAATAATACAATTAATTAAAAACAAAGATTTGTCCTCTATCAGCAGGAGGCATAGTGAAATAGGAGCACGCACTTACATTCTCGTTGGCTAAAGTTCTGGCTTACTAAGCAAGCCTTGCTTCTTCCAGAAGTCGAATTGGTTTGGAAATACTTCAGCCTTAAAAAACGCTCAGTTGTGGAACGACGGACGTCGAGGTGATACGAGTTTGAATTTCGTAACACACATTACGGTTATCTGCTGGCATTTTGGACATGGCATCTGTATTATTTAAAGAATAAAAATTTAGACGCAAAACACGTCTAATATCAACCAAGTTATGATATAAAGCCAATATTAGAAATCATTTATCTTTGTACAGCGTGAATTGGATGGCGTTATGCAATACTAAAACGATGGGGATTTATTAAAATATTTAACAATTTTATCTCCGAAGTCGTCATACCGAGAAATGCACAAACGAATATATACAACTTCTCGACTATAACCACTGGGTACTTCGCTCACTCCAGTGAGCTTCCGTCCTGCCCGTCAGGCGATTGACCACCCCGCGACGGCCCAAGCCAAGGTTTGAGTCTCGCAGGAGACGCCCATACGCTACTTGCGGTAAAACGCCACATTCCGGCCGAGCTTCACTCGCTAGCTGAGCTGAGCGGTAAATCAAAAAAACCTTAGGTTAGACCTTGTCGAAGATCTTCCCTTTAGGTAGGAGAAATACACCATCATTCCTTCACAGTACTAAGTGTGAAGTTTATTGAGTGCTTTTGTTTTCATTACACAAATCAATAAATATAGGGGCCATAAAACACTGTCGCGGCACGATTCTTCTAGAACTTATTCCTAAGCGAAGCTAGTATGCTGAGAGAAAAGGGGGATTCATTCGTTCGCTTCGTTTGACTGTGATGATTGCTTGACATGTCCAATATGGACACGCAGCATTATGCGTCACACGCGATGTACACTAGGAAAGCAATCCAGCAGTACTCCTCAGTATGCCTGAAGGACATCAGCATCATTAACAGCCGTTAGCATTCCTGCCCTCGGCACTTCTGAAAAGGGCACACTTTATACATTATGATACTAAAAGATTGCCGGCAACAATGTATTTTTGTGAATAAATACATTTTTCAAGATAAAGCGTCTTGTAGAAACTAACACATACTCATATTCAGAATTTAGCTTTCACTAAGTGCGACTTTCGTATGTCAAAAATGTATTAGATTTCGACATATAATAATAATACGTGAGTCGTAGCTCGCGTAATTTTATCACACAAATCGATCTGTAACAGGCCTGTGTAGCATATAATTTGCTAATGCATAATGCGGACCATTACGTTGAACTTAAATAAAAATTAATGTTTTATAGAAATTGGTATGGCTTGGTATTTTTATATCAACAAAAAATTTGTGTAGCTAAATGAGAATATCGTAAGAAATTATAAAAACTGTTTCGATGAATAGCCCATTGAATTGTTAGAGGATTTACAAGCTTAAACCCAAGTTTGTGGGGTTGGCGCCCTTGTCCCCAGGCCGCCATCTTGGAAAAAGGGGTGAAAACACGTATTTGGCTTTATATCCCTTTTCTTGAAGGAGCCTAAGTCAAATTGGTTCGGAAATTTTTCAGTAGGCAGGTTCAAACATTCCTTATAGAATAAAAACAATGCAGTATCCATTATGGGATCCTGCCGACAAAAAAGGCCCGTAGGAGGTTATGTCCTAACGGATCCAGATGATCCAGTCACCGTAGCCAACGACAAATTAACACGTTCACTGCGGCAAGTAAAATCATAATTCTTCATCAGGTGCGGCGGCGGGCCAAAATGCGCCCCCAATGATATTTCCGCCGGTGCGTGGCAGGTCTTTCTAGACCCAACAGCACTAGGATAGATTAAATTGCTATAACTTTGTGGAAACATAATGTATAATATTTTTTATATTGTTAGAATGACCTTGAACCCAACTTCCTAAGGTTTGATTCGCCCCGGGATCTGGCAAACAGGAAATGAGAAATAAAGCAGGAAAAGCGGCAGGCCGATATCGACCTGAACCGCACTAGATTATATTTTTAGTAGTGATGGGACAGAGAAATAAGGGGATATCGAAAATAAAACAGAATTATCGTAAAAGAACTGAAAATGTATTTATTTACTTATGTATGCCTGTCTTGGAAACAGAAATACTGTTTATTTTTCTTAGTGGAAAATATTTCTTCACTGCTGTCACTATCACTGTCAATAACTGCAAGGAGAATTACTCTATTTTCCAAAATTTGTATTTTTCTTGTATTGCTTGCCAGCGTTGATTATATCGAACGCTACGTTAGATCAGTTAGATAGCACAACACTAACTGGCCGGGCGCGCGCTCTGTGCGTTATCGGGTCGCCAGCTGCCTGTTGGGTGGGCGGGCTGAAATAGGCTCACTGCCGCACTCAGCGGATGCACAGCAGCGTCAGTGCGTGGTAGGTCGATAAAAGCCTGCCGTTATGTTTTTATGGGGAAAACCTACAATTTTGACCGCAAGATGAAATATATATTTGTCCCTGTCGAATTTTTACAAACACCTGAGATAATCGTTACGCACCAGCGAGAGGGACATAGATTTCTTCGTCCGCACCAGCTGAAGTACCGCAGCAGGCCGATATCGGCCTGTTACGCAGTGAACGTGTTAAAAGCCGCCCGCGCGCTTTTTTACCTTTTTTCGCTCGATAGCGGCATGTCTTTTCGTAAGCATATAGCCGTTGTTCGAAAGAAGGCCTCTTTTGTTCTGTCTCGCCTCCATTGTCATGTCACATGTCCCTTAGACACAAGGTGACATTGTACTAGGCCTGTATCTGAATGTGCATAACGCTAGCGTAGTCTTCGCGCATTATGCCCACGCCCATATCCACCGGCTAAAGGTGCTTCAGTCGCGATTCATGAGAATCGCGACCAGTGCGCCCTTCTAAGTGACAAACGTCGATCTCCACCACGACCTGGGGCTCCCTACCATAACCCAATGGATGAAGTCGGCGTCCACACGCCACTTCGACAAGGCTAAACACCATCCCAATCAGTTGGTGCCTAAAAGCATTAATTACCCCTTCCCGACAGAAAAGGCCAGAAGGAGGCCCCGACACGTTCTAACGTATCCGGACGATCCAATCACGATATTAATCGCGCGCGGGAATTAATATTATAAATCAGATTAGGGTAAAAGTCCGCCATCACCTTGGAAGGCGTGGACCTTTATTTCGTACTTTGCTCACTCCAGTGAGTTTCCGTTCTGCCCTTCAGGCGATTGACCACCCCGCGTCGGCCCAAGCCGAGGTCCGATTCTCGCAGGAGACGCCCTTGCGCTAGTGGCCGGCAAACGCCCATTCCGGCCGAGCTACGCTCGCCAAAACAGCCCGAGCTGAGCTGTAAAGCCCCTTCAGGCCAACAGCGAGATTCAGACTTTCTCCAATAGCAAAAATTAATTATTTTCACACAATTCTTGTACAATATTTGACTTTGACTGTCCTATATGTCGGTGCGAGATGTCAGATATGATGTACAAAAATTAAAAAAAAAACTTTGAACTTTCTTTGATTAGAATGACCACCATTGTTAACTGTTGTAATGATTACATTAACAATAATATTAAACTATGCAATGTTATGAAAATAAATGTAACAATGATTTAGTCTTTGAAGTTTGAGTCATTGATGTGTCACAGATCATAGGGGACGGTTGTGCGATGTTTGTTTTGTTTTTAATTTTCGCAACGTGTGCGGCCAGTTACAATGAACAATATCGAGGTATATTTTTTATCTACAATTTTTTTCAACTTCTAGTTATTTTATTTTTAACAGATATAATTATAATAATTATAAGAAAAAAGTGCTAACATTCGAATACAATCAAAATCTGTTATAACGACATCGAAGGGTCTACACATATTTGGTCGTAAAAACCGATAGGCCGAACAGCCGATGACGTTGTTATTACCTAATACAAAGAATACAGCCTTCCGATTCTGTAACTCACTTTTCGAACTCTCACAGCGGTTTTCGCAGCGGCGGTCGCGCCCAAATCAGTCATTTTACGATTTGGCATTCTGAAAAACAATAAACTACAAGCTCCCTCCTTATCAGAGAACGAAAGAAAGAGAAAAGTGAGTTACAGAATCGCAAGGCAGCCTTTGATGTTGGTCAATATAACCGGTAATGTTGTTCGAAACGATGTCGATGTAAAACGGTTTTGACTGTATGTTCAAGTTTGTACACAGCTTTTGCGGAATCAAAAGTTATGTTCAGATAAGGCGTGCGCCACTGTTTAATCTGCGTCCATGCCGTTTCTCTCAATTCAGGCCATTTTCTATAACTTCCTTGTACGAGCCAAGGCTGTACATTTTGCTCACTCAGGCTTTCTTAGTTTTATAAGCGTAGCAAGCTGCTAACTAAATATTATGAGGGTGAGATTTAAGAACATAACAACTCTACGGATCCTACATACGTACCATAACTTTAATGAATATATAAATAAATACGCGATACACCAAGAGATCTAAGGTAACAGATGGTTTACGGAGGTGGAATCAAAGAAATTAAGGGCTTGGAGGAGTCTTCTCCACTTTGAAAGGAAGCCAGAAATGAATGACAGAGCAATATTCAAATCCGATTTACTGTTATAAAATAATATCTTAAATACATACATAATATTTTTCTTGTGGACAGTTGATGTATCGCGCACCTTCAGCTGTTATTAGGAACAGCCAAGTAAGCTTTGTCAGCATTCGGTCAATGTTCGAATGAAATCTGAGTATATAGCGTTTAGTGTATATAATCAAGGAAAATATTCTGCCTGTAAAATGACACGAAACAATTTAATTTAATATAATACTAGCAGACCGGCCAAACGTTGCTGTGGCTAAGGTTTTTGTTATATTACATAGTAGCAAACTATTCAAGGGAAACGGTAGGAGAACACCAGTCATGGGGACAACCATGCTTTTTTGGTGGTTATTCCATAAATTGTAGCTGATGTGAAACGTTGGTACTTTCAATACAGCGCCATCTGTTAGAATTGTGACTATCAAATAATAAACAAATATTTTGCAATAAAATAACATTGCGGGAATAAATTCAGATGTAAGCTATCTTATCTTTTAAGTTGGATCAAACTACACACGGTGTGCAAATTTGATTGATATCGGTCCGGTAGTTTAGGAGTCCATAGCGGACAAACAACGTGACATGTAATTTATATATATTAAGATTTAAGATGTATTACTTGTGAGATTGTGTTTCCCAATGGCCAAGTCAATATTAAAACAAAATATTTGAATATTGTTAGTAAAAGGGATACTCTTCTTTAATAAAATCCCAGGACCCAGAGGCTCTTTTATCTCTCGGCCTACACCCTCTGTCTTCTTTGCCGATGAGTAGGGATGCCTAAAAGTTAAAATTTAATGACGTGGAATAAGTGATACCTGTATCTTATGTTCCATAATAAACATATTTTATTTTTAACTATATGTTAGGTTAGCTAGTTACGTAATAGCTTAAGACAGAAAGTCCATTGGTCAGCCGGGGATCGAACCTACGACCTCAAGAATGAGAATCACGGTGATGCCGCTAGGCCAACCCTTTTATTTTTATAGACCAGTGTTAGCCTAGCGGCTTCAGCGTGCGACTCTCATCCCTGATGTCTTAGGTTCGAACCCCAGCTGTGCACCAATGGACTTTCTTTTCTTAACATTCGCTCAACCTACATGCAAGTATGACAAATAATAATGAAACAGATACAGAAGTCTGCCCAGATGTAAAAATGTTGCAATGCCACAGATTTATTTATTTTTATACATTAACTGTTATTTCCAGTCCCTCATGCCGCTTCAGACCGTTGGGAAAGCTACATCTTTGAAGACAAGGAGTACTTGATACAGAACCTTCCAGTGAAATGGGAAAATGCTAAAATATTATGTCGGTAAGAATCCACGCTGCCAACCAAATTACTCCAATGCAATAGCCAGCAACGCACTTGTGAGTCATCAGGCAATATCAATGGGCGGTGGTATCACTTAACATCTAGTGAGCCTCTTGCCCGTTTGCCCCCTGTTATATAACAAAAAGCCGGCAACGCACTTGCGAGTATCTCGCAATGACTATGAACGGCGGGTTACCATTTAACGTCTGATGAGCCTCCTGCCCGTTTGCCCCATGTTATTTAACAGAAAAAATGGCCGGCAATGCTATAACAAATATTACTGTTGGGTCCTTCTCTTTCTTCTCTACGATACCTGCCTCGATATCTCCTCTCAAAGTCGTGACTATTCAAATATTTTACAGAGGACATCACAATGGAACATTGGCCTTAATTGATACGAAAGAAAAGGCCGAATTTCTCGCCGAAGCATTGTCAGAATTACAGTTCTGTAAGTATGAGCTTTTATCATCTTCTTTTATATGCCTTCTGTGTCGACGATTTTTCAGTCTAAGTTTTCCGTTAATTTCCCCGTACTAGACTATCAAAAGTTAGTATTTCTTTTTTGGGAAAAGAGATTCTAAAAGAGATTCTTCTTTAATAAAATCCCAGAGGCTCTTTATCTCTGCCTTTTAATAAATTTAAGAAATGTATTAAAGAAAAGCTGTGTAAAAAGGCTTACTATAAAGTTAACGATTATCTAGTTGATAAAAGGGCCTGGGACTAGTGCTAGGCTACTTGTAATTAATTTGCGATATTTGTTTTAAAATAAGTGTTGTTTGACGATTTGCTGAAAGAGAGTTTTTTACGTCGGCTTTTTCTCTCGGCCAACACCCTCTGTCTTCTTTACCGATGAGTTGGGATGTCTACCTATTTAAATTGAACGACGTGGAAGAACTGATACCTGTATCTTTAAGAAGGTCTAAGAAGAGAGTCTTTGTCATATCTAAATTCTCGCACCGTCAATTTTCCAATATAATAGCGAACTGTGGGGCGAAGTGCCGCTCCAGCTGCGGCAGGTCCTCATCCTCTCGATCCGGTACCCGACCTACTGCTCTCCAATGTGCTAATCAAGCAGAGTAATATCCATTGTGTCTAACCTCTACTTATCCCATTTAGCAATAGAATCAGTATGGGTGGGTGCGAGGCGAGCGTCTTCAGATGACCCAGAGGGCTATCGGTGGAGTCATGGCGGTGAACTTAGAAGAACAGCATCTGATGTATTGCCTAACGAATTGGATTCTAATCTACAAAGGCACTATCCTATGGTAAGTATTGCAGTAAAAAAAAGAGTTGAGCATCAGATGTGTCTGTTACCTGATCATTTGCTTTTCTCAATGAACGAGTAGGTTGTCAGCCTTTGACTGACTTATGGACCCAATTCTTCATCTGCGATCTTACGAGCAAGTGTCTGCGTACATAGACAGAAAGTCAACCTCAAAGATCGAGACAGTCTCATGCTGAAGCCACTAGGCCAGCTCTTTCACAGACTTCTGTATTTAATTCATAGCATTTTACATAACTCGACGTTTCGAGCATATTGCAGGTGACAGCTGGTGCGGAATTATAGTACTCCGACGAAAAGACAAGATCCTTGACCAGTCTAATTCAAACCAAGGTTGAGATGTATATATTCTTAGGAGTATTATTTTGTTAACGGATTTCAGGGTATGAGGTCTACGTAGTGATTTTTTTTTCACACCAATTGACCTAGTCCCATGCTAAGCTTTATGATCCTTTGGCGTTGCGTAGTGATGTGGGGTCACTATGCATCTTCTACCGCATTTACCATGGAGAGTGTTCAGAGGAGTTGTTCGGATTAATACCTGCAGCTGAGTTTCATCATCGGACGTCGAGACAGAATACGAAATTCCACCCGTATCACCTCGACGTCCGCCGTTCCACAACTGGGCGTTTTTCAAGGCAGTTTTTGCCTAACCTAAGGAACCAGCTGCCCACTGAAGTATTATCGACTTAGGGTCCTTCAAGAAAAGAGCGTACCAATTCTTAAAAGGCCGGCAACGCACTCGCGAGCCCTCTGGCATTGAGAGTGACCATGGGCGGCGGTATCACTTGACATCAGGTGAGCCTCCTGCCCGTTTGCCCCTGTTTCTATAAAAAAAAAAAGAAGCTTGTGTTGTGGATACTAGGCAACGGATATACATACATATTATAGATAGATAGGCATATAAATACTTATTTAAACACCCAAGACCTAAGCACAACACCAAATGCTCATCACATCGATGTTCGTCTCAGCCGGGGATAGAACCCGGGACCCATGGATTCGCAGTCAGGGGTACTAACCACTAGACCAATGAGTCGTCAACTTTATTAGTAGGTGACGCTTAAGAGACACATGGAATAATTTCGCGGGATTTCAACCAGAGATCGCCTGCAGTCGAACTTGCTAATTAGTTATTGCGTGAAAAAGGCGAAAGAGACTTAGTTTCGACACTTTTTACCTACGATATTTATTTAGGATATAAATGCGTGACCGTGACACAGCGTTAATTGGTGGTTGTGGCTGGCAGCAGGATAGAAGGCTCACTTAATATTCAGTGATATCCATGGACACTTAATGCCATTTGGGCTCGCGAGTGCGTGGCCAGAGTTTGGAATTGGTACGCTCTTTCCTTGAAAACACTAAGTCGAATTGGTTTGAAAATACTTCAGTGGGCAGCTGGTTGCAGAAAAACTGCCATAAAAAACGCTCAATTGTGGAAAAGACTTCGAAGGGATAAGGGTGGAATTTTGTTAATTTTAACATCCGATGATGAAACTTAGCGGCTGGTATTAATCTGAACAACTAAAATGATTGTTACATTACGGAGTCCTGTCCACCTTTTGCTGTTTTCTGTTTCTTTACATAATTAGCACTGCCCTGCGATTCTGTAACTCACTTTTCGAATTCACACAGCGGTTTTCGCATCGGCGGTCGCTCTCAAATCAGTAGTGACTAATAAAATGACTGCTTCACTACTGATTTGAGAGCGACCGCCGATGCGAAAACCGCTGTGTGAGTTTGAAAAGTGAGTTACTGAATCGCAGGGCTGTTCTATAATCTTGATGTCACGTAATAAATCATTTTCAGACATAAGGTGCTTAATTATTTTCCTCATATAGACATAGACATAACATTTATTCCTAACAAAAACACACACATATAAAGATACATAATTTTTTTTTCCCTTTTCCCATTCTGTTCGTTTTAAGTATGTAATGCGCGTGTGCTGAGGTTGTAATTGGCCCTGGCTCAGCATTATGCTGAGGAGCAGACGTGTTCCACAGAGCTGGTCATTCTGCCAGAAACCACAACAATTAGATAATGTAATAATAATAATAGTAAGAGAATAAGAATAATTGTTAATAAATATTTATAATCGGGTTAAAAACTAGATTTCGTGAAATTTTTGTTGAGTAACTAGATGTACTTTTACTGCGACGAAAATTTGATCTTAGTTGAAGGTTTTTTTCAACATATTCACAGTGGTTGAACCGCACACACATACCAGTACCAGAAGGGGGAGCAGACTGTGTAGCTCTTGAGAGAGTTAATCACGACAATCCAGTATTTTTAGACCTGCCATGCTTGCTGGAACGTCCCTTCGTCTGCGAGAAAGGTATGATCTCTGTATGCTTAATAAAATATCATGGCATATTCACCAGGTTCGGTAGTCTTCTGAGAGTGACCTTCCGTGCCCTTCAGGCAACCATCAGCACCACGGTCCAAAGCTTCATAATCAAAATCATCTGTTCAATCAATCTAAATATATCTGTTAATGCCATTAACAGAATTAGAAATAACAATTGTAGGTAACTTATATCTACCAACCTCCAGCTCAGGAGAGGCACTTCAAGAAGAAGAAGAATATCTGAAAGGTTTTTGAAATCTAGTTCTTTTGTTCTTTACAGAAGCTCATATCGAAGTAAATATACAGGAATTGAAGCGTGTGCGGTGTCGATCTGGTCGCTACCATATCTTTGACGGTAGATTGAACTGGGATCAGGCTGCTGCCTATTGTGTCATCCAGAAGATGACGTGAGTTTTTTTATACACACCTTAAAATAAAATAAATCAGTGGCACTATAATCTTTTTAGGTCTTTCATGACCATATTTTGCCTTATAGGCAAGTAGGTGATCAGCCTATGCCTGACACACACCGTCGACTTTTTGGGTCTAGGGCGGTTTCCTCGCGATGTCTTCCTTCACCCAAGGAAAGTAAATGCGCACATATTAAGAAAGTCCAGTCGGGGATCGAATCTACGACCTCAGGGATGAGAGTCGCAGGGACGAAGTCTGTAGATACTGTGTAAAACAAACTTGTGTTAAATGAATCCCTTAAAAAAATATATATTACAATATTTTTTGATCTTATGAGTTTAATAACCTATGATAAACTCTTACAGATTAGCAAATGTACCCTCAGTCAAGTGCTTGAAGAAATTAGGAGTGACTATGCTTAAAGCAAGACCAAGTAAGTTCTTCTTTCAACATTAAAATGTCGATATTGTCCTCTATCTGTACTAAAGCTTTCGGTGAATAGACTTTTAAATGCAGAAATTGTTAGACATATGTAGATATCGATGTCTTCTATAAAACTGTAGAACACTGCTCTATTGTCAATAGTTTCCGCAGCATAAAGGAATCTTAAAAAATAATTTCAAATCCAGTTTTGGAGTACGGAAGCAAACAAAATCTTTTCACTTTAAAATTTAGTGTTAATAAATAACTTTTTGAGTATTTAATTTTATCTAATTATATTTTATTCCAATAGGTATCGAAAGCGCATGGGTAGGGGCCAAAGGAGCATTGGGTCAATGGACATGGATAGATACGGGCTTAAGTATTTTCACACCAACAACTTTCACCGATGTGTCGCCGGGTTGGCCGCCTATGAGGTATACACATAATACTGCTAACTTATAATTACATATACGCGATAATAACGAAATTTTTATTCTTCTTCTTTAGAAAAGTGCCCTCTATGTTTAACAATAGCTAACTTTACAATATTGGAGTGTAATATATGTTATATTTATTACACTCCGGAGAATGCTCTTTGCAATTCCACAACTAGATTCCGTCATCCCGTTTCAAACAACGTCTAGAAGTACGCTGGAGTTTCCTGCGTGCTATACGATTTGGTGGCTTCTAGAGAAAACAGCCATGGAGAGGAACTCCTTGCACTTCCACTCAATCTCCCCTAAAGATGGGTTCATTCAAGCGGCGGCTAAATATCATCTTCTGGAAATACCTCCAATCTCACACATCTCACTTTTTGAGGTTTGTTCCTGTTCTGCAGCTGCAACTAGTAAACCATCTTTACATCCCAGATTTTTGAAATCATACTTCTTTAGGCGCGTTATGAAAATTGATGAGAATGAAATTTTACGATGCGCGCGCACCGTGACACAAAATTAACAGAATGAAGTTGCCCACGGAAGATGCTACGGCATTGGACATAATTTAAAAACAACATTCGAATAATAATAGAATTTATGTTACACTTAATGTAAGAGAATAATAATAAATATTTATTTATTTAATTTTTCAAATGTAAACTGAACTTTATTGACTATAATGACTCCTTTTCTTGTTCTTAAATTATGTCTTTGATTATTTAGTTGCAATTAATTATTTGCATGCAATCAAAATCTATTTTAATAATGCTAAAGAAGTATAACATCTTACGCGCGTACATAAGTACACGCACCCATTTTTTTATGTAACAGGGGGAAAAGCGCAGGAGGAGGTTAAAAGTGCTACCGCCGCTCATAGACATTCACATTGCCAGAGGGCTCGCAAATGCGTTACCGGCCGTTAACTTAATGTTATTACAGAGATGGCGCTGTTAAACAGAGCGGATGTCTCCAGATAGACAGGCACGAGACATTATCACCAATATTTATGGAAGCAAGGTGCGAAAGAAAAATGCAATTCATTTGTTATCAAGGTAATCAGCAACCATTTAATAGATTAGACTAATCTTTTGTGCGTTTATTATTTTTTATCGTAAAACACGCGCATAAAAGAAAAGTAATTATTTAAAAACATATAATAATACAATACAATAATAAAACAAATAAGTGGCGCGACGACCTTTTTAGGTCTGGGCCTCACTTTTCTGTATCTGTTTCATGATTTGTCAATCTAATAAAAAATAATATAAAAAAATCAGGGGCGCTACAACCTTTTTAGGTCTTGGCCTCAGATTTCTGAATCTGTTTCATGATCATTTTTAAAACTAATAGGCAAGTAGGTGATCAGCCTGACAGTGACTGACACTCGCCGTCGACTTTTTGTGTCTAAGTTCGAGCGAATGTTAAATGCGCACATAGCTAGAAAGTCCATTGGTGCACAGGTGGGGATCGAACCTACGACCTCAGGTATTACAGTCGCAAGCTGAAGCCACTAGGCCAACACTGCTCTTAATTGTCAATCTAATAAGAAATCGCTAGTCGCTACTCCTCTTTTCGAAAACACTCTTCTTAAAGCCACAGCCAGCATTGGAATACTTGGCGTTGACATATCGAGCGACGTTCAGTTTCGCGGTCACTTGGAGGGAAAGGCTAAATTAGCCTCCAAAAAGCTTGGTGTGCTCAGCAAGGCGAGACGGTACTTTACTCCGGGCCACCGCATGCAACTATATAAAGCGCAAATTCGGCCCCACATGGAGTACTGCTCTCACCTCTGGGCGGGAGCTGCCCAGTACCAGCTCCTTCCGCTTGACCGTATACAACGCAGAGCGGTTCGAATCGTCGACGACCAATCCCTCTCCAAGCGGCTTGATCCTTTGGCGTTGCGTAGAGATGTGAGGTCACTCTGCATCTTCTACCGCATTTACCATGGAGAGTGTTCAGAGGAGTTGTTCGGATTAATACCTGCAGCTGAGTTTCATCATCGGACGTCGAGGCAGAATACGAAATTCCACCCGTATCACCTCGACGTCCGACATTCCACAACTGAGCGTTTTTCAAGGCAGTTTTTGCCACGCACCACCACTATGTGGAACCAGCTGCCCACTGAAGTATTCCCGAACCAATTTGACTTAGGGTCCTTCAAGAAAAGAGCGTACCAATTCTTAAAAGGCCGGCAACGCACTCGCGAGCCCTCTGGCATTGAGAGTGTTCATGGGCGGCGGTATCACTTAACATCAGGTGAGCCTCCTGTCCGTTTGCCCCACGTTCTATAAAAAAAAAAAAAAAGAAAGTAAATCCTCCCGTGCTTGACACACGCCGTCGTGTTGGATCTAAGGCAAGCCGATTTCCTTCCGATGTTTTCAGTTGCGGTCTTTCTTTGCACACAGGAAGACCATTGGTCCAGGGAAGAGAGACGCACGCTGAAGCAACTCTGCTATCACTGCTCTGCTTTATATTAAATTAGACATAATAATATTCCAGGATTGCCAGGACTAAGAACAACACTTCTACCACAGAGCGACGACAATTACTACTATATTCTAGTACGACAATCTTTCTACTGGCAACACGCGTTGGAGAATTGCAAGAAAATGAACGGCTCGCTTGCCAGTGTTGAAAATAACGATGTCCTAATACAACTTCTGTTGGCTATGGGTGAAAATAAGGAGGAACGTGAGTTGTCAAATGATTATAAAATTTATAATTACTAATATTATTAATAGGAAAGATTTGATTGTTTGGATATGCTCCAAAACTACAGGATTTGAAAATCTTTCACCATTAGCATCATCCATGACTTTTAAATGTAATATTTTTGTTAGACATAATATTGTTGTTAGACATAATATTGACGTCTCTTGTAAAACAATAGAGCAACTATTGTCAATAGTTTCCGTAGCGTATAGGGTTCATAGCTTAACAATTAAGGATAATTAAGAATCTTTAAGCATTGATTGATAATAAGCGTATAGACAAAAAGGAAAGATAGTCGTATTCTTTCTCGCTTTCACACCAAAGAATGTTTAATTTACAAGAATATAAAAAAATTAAATATTTGGCAGTTAGTAGCGGTTATCCAATAATCTCGGCGCTTTGTTTTATACAAAGTGGTTAATTCGAACACTATCTGTACAATAATTATAATCAAACAGCTTTGTACTAATGGTGATGGACTAAGAATTTGCTTAATTATTCAATCTATTATATTCAATAGTAAATAATTGAATATAATAGATTCCTATTTCCGATAGGTATGCTGCGGAATGTTGAAACTATTGACAATAGAACAACGTACTACAGTTCTATAGATGTCAAAATCTACGGTAACTGCTATCTTCCGCGCAATCACCCTTAAGTGGCGCTGGGAACCCCGTTACGCCCATGGGCTTGCGGGGGGTCGCGGGATACGCGTCCCGCTCAACGGCGGGACGGTCGTTGGGGCGGGCCTGGAGCGGCCCAGGGGGTCTAGCCAAGATGGCTTAACAGTAGTGTATGTAGAAAGTCGAAAACTAAATTTGTATGGAAATGACAGTTCGTGTCGAAAAGTTTTCATACAAATTTAGTTTTTGACGTTCTACATACACTACTGTTAAGGCATCTTGACTAAGGCCCCTGAACCTCGTTAATCAAAATTTTCATAAATCTAACATTCTATTATGTTAAATAGCACGTCATACAGAACATATTTCGTAAGCGCGTTTTAAGAAGTTACCGTTTTCATATCAAGCCATCTATCGGCAAATAGAGGAACTATTGCGATTTTAACATTGCCAATTAATTCTTGGATTTAATGTCTAGTTTCCTTAACAACTATTTACATTTGTTTTTCTCTTATAGACATAATTTTTTTATTAACTTTTAAAAGCTGTCGAGCACGTCTGGATATCGGGACATTTGAACATGACGAGGGAGAATGACGTCATCTACTCGTGGTGGAACCCGAATACCGGGAAACGAATCCCCGACCCCAAGAATGGTGATATTGGATATGTAAGTATTACTGGCTCTTCAGACCAACAGTTATTTTTAAAAAATGCGTGCGGACGGAGTAGGAACACGTCAGAAGTGAAACTTCTTTGGCAAACTAATTTTTAAGCCTTGTTTATATTTATACAAATCTAAAACTTTAGATTTCCGAGACTTAGAGGGAGGGAGGAAGAAAGATATGTTAGGAATTTAATGAATTTAAAATACATATTAAAAGTGTCGAAAATTAATACAAATTATTAATTTATTTTTTATAATTTATTTCTTCGATAACAAAAACACGTGGCATTCTAATTTACAATTCGTCATTCTAGATCAAATAAAATATAAAATACTAATATTAAAAAAAATGTGAGCCGTCACGGAACGCCTGGCAGATGTGAAACATCGACATTATTTTGTAAAAGTAATGCAGAAAAGAACAGATTGTGATAGGAACTAAATATGTCATAATGATAAAATTATATTAAGATTTTTTTTTCCAGATAACGATGACTATTTATTGAATAAACATTATTTTCATTAAATACAAAAATTTACGAATTTATTTCAAATCGCAACTACTTTATTCGTTTAATCAGTGACTTTGAAATACACACACCGTACACAATACTGCATATAGACTGTATATATATACCATCATATAGAGGGGCGACGCGTCGCCACGGTATGCGTCGCCACTCCAGAAATCGGTTTTACGTGCGGCTATAGATGTTTCACATCAAAAAAACAAACTATTATAAGAAATGGATAAATGAATATTTATCCATTTCGATTGGTAAAAACTAGATTTCTACTAGTTCACGGATAAAGGCCTCCTTCAACTTTTTCCATGGCTTTCTATCTCCGTTTCCTGCTAACGCTTTTTTCTAGGTTCTGTCCCATGAATAAATACAATATGACGACTTCAGCAATGAATTTCTTTTCAGATGCCTCCATGGCTAGACGAAGAATTCTCTATGGACAGCCCATGTCTGAATCTTGACAGGCAGGATCATTTAAACGGTGTTATCTATGGTCTACCATGTGACACACCGCAGTATTCTATATGTATGATTGGTAAGTTATTTTCTTACTCAATTATGCCCATTGAATTATTAACTAATTATGCAATTATCCTTCAAGTTTTATTCATATAAAAATTGGAATCCTGACGCAGTTTATATCTGTCCACGGTACATAGAATATAAATATATCTTTTAACATCTAGTGATCTGCGCGAAAAATCTCTATTTGACAATGGCAATTGACACGGAAAGCACATCCACAGTATACTTCAGACAGAACTTAATACTTATTGCTTATTTTCTATGAATTTCAGATGGCTCTAAAGTGGTTCTGCAATTATAATAATTTCTAAGTCATTATTTTCAGTGATGAAAATGATAAAACATGTAACGTATTTGCTCCAAATTTGGGGAACTAAAAAGGGATATTTATTTAAGATGTTTTTTCTTCTACTATATTTATATATATATATATAACCCAACCAACAAACCGAAGCAATCATTAACGCCAAGATCAAAATAACAACTTTTATACTTAAATGTATTTTTAATGCATATTTCATTTTACCTGTCAAACCGAGAGTAAGTACAACAAAAACTTTCGAGGTTATAAATACTTTTAAAGTTGGTCCCAGGGATAACATTCTGTAGTAGTTGGCAACAGGCATCATTGCTAAGATTATTTGCAAAAAAACAGAGGTCTATCAAAATATTCATAAAGCAAAGTAAATTTATTAACATATTTACTTGTAACGGGTGTAAGTGAGCCAGCAAGAAACTCCGACCTGCTATTAGGCCACTATTTTAATTCTAATATCATAATTATTTATTTATTCACAAAATATACATACACTATCTTTACAGTACAAAACCAATACGATGTCGAAAAAATAATAAATATAGTATTAAATGTGTACAAAATATTGCTACTGTAAACTCACTCTGTGAACATATTTTTTTTTCTTACAATAAGTTCACAAAAAAGAGTGCAACTTTACATGAATTACATTCTAGCCTATAAAATTAATTATTTATTATTAAATAATTATGGCTAATAAATAATATTATTTTGACCTAATTTTCTTCAGTACTTTAACTAAGGTTATGTTCATTAACAGTCTTTAGTGTTATATAATATTTTGACACTGTTCATGTGTCTGAGATACTTGCACTTATATTCACTCAAAAGGTTTAGTTCTCTTTAGGGGTCTTATTCCAGTAGTGTCAAGGAGTTTGATTGCTTCAGCATTCACATTGCTATGTTGTCCTGCCAAAGCCTGTTTAAGTGAGCTAAGGCAATCCGTTTCGCCGTATTTAGGACTGTATCCTCATTAAGATCTTTGTGGATACTTTCATTTTTAATGTACCATGGTGGCATTGTAAAGTGCGAACATTTAGAAGGTGCAACGTCTTAGTTAATGGAGATTTGTGCAACAGACTGCTTCTGACCCTTGGTATCGCAAACAACCTTGGCCTGGGCCGTCACATATATGTATTGTATAGGTACATGTAATTCAAATTTTAACCAAATTTTATTATTACAGAAAAAACAACTAAAACCGCCGGTGACACAGTAAACGAGGACTCAACATGATTTACTTATTTTGGAAAAAATAAAACACATTAATAATTTATAGTTTTATTTACAATAACAGTTACACTACGTGAATATAACAAAATTGCGCTAAATAGTGTAACTCACTAACTTAATCTGCGCCATGCTTTGCTCTAATTCAACATTGCATACACCTGCAATGTTGAATTCTAGAACCTGACAAGTACAATTTAAATATCTTACATTTTTTGGTATTTTTTTTCATTTTTAACTTAATTCTCTGTCTCTTATAGTTATGGTTAAGGAATTGGTAGGGGAGATAAATTTGCAGTCACTAAAGTATGAGGATCTATTGGATAATGGATTGTGAAGATTAGGTTCTAGAAGGGAAAATGTTTAATGTTTAATTTGCTATTTTAGTGAGGAGGTACAAATTTTTAATAAAGTAAAAAATCTTTGATTGTCTATCTGATAACCACTATTTAAAAGAAACCCTTTGTATTGCAACTTAGACTTAATTCATTTAGTAAAAGCCCTATAACCCTTCCATATGCCTTTAGAAATGGACTAACTTTTGGCAAAAACATACTACCTTGTTAGTGAAAATTGTAATTTATATAACTTTGATAAGTAGTTTAATAATGTGATGACAAAGTTAAAAAAAGACTGTAAAAATTATACATAATTTGAATTTAGAAGAACAGGTTGTACCATGTGTTATTGTACCTACACTATATTCTTGCAAAAAAAGAATAATTATTATTATATCTTTTTTTTACAAAAAAAAATTAAATGTGTATAGTGGATTTTATTCACAATCTTGGTTGTAGCAACATTAAATCTAAATCCCTTGAATTTAAAGCATACTTTAGTACAAAATTGATATGGCTATAGCATGGTGTCACACCAAGTTTGGGTATAACAACTGTATTGATTAAATAATGTGAAAGAATTGAAAGTGAAAAATTCAAACCAAGATAGATCAACTGCCTTGCTTAAGTATACTTGGACTAGTGGTATAAATATGAATGCATAATAATACATTTTATCTGTCTTCAACTCAGTAAGTTAAATGTGTTGACTGAGATATATTCTTATGGTAAAATTTGTGATCATATTTACAAAAACTTAGCACTAAGTATAACTCCGGATCTTTCTTCTAGAAAAGTTGATTTGCTTTTACAAAAAAAATGTTTGGATTTACAAGAGGAAGTTTTCATTGTGCATATAGACAGAAATCTATTGACGCAGATGAGAATGACGGTGAGGATACAGCTGTGAAAATTGAGATCATTAAGCTAACAATTGATTCATATTCTAATTTTGTCGAAATTTATTTTTTCATTAAATCTAACAACTCTTTATTCACTTTATGTAGTTCATTGTAATTTTCATTCACAACTCTTAAGTTTTTTTTAAACTTAAGAATATTTTCTAAAAAGGTGCGAAGATTTTCATTGACCAGACGAATTTTTATCAACTCTTTAAGCAATTTTTTCTCATGTTTCTGAAAAAAGATGCAGGGGCCTGTATAAGTATTTATAAAAATAAAATATTTTACTGTACATTTTCATACACTTATTATATGTTGCAAGATTGCTAGATAGACAAAAATCACTTAGGCCCGTTTCTCCACTGCTCCGGTCCGACGTCGGATACCGGAATGAGTCATGAGAAAAACATCGGAAGGCCGGATTGGGCTTCTCCACTATATCCGATCCGACAATAATCGATACTTGTGTATTAATCATGCAATACTTATATTAACTAAAACCCATATTATATAAATTTTATTAATAAAACGTTCTAAATTCTGAATATTTTACTGCCCTGGCAAGTTTATTACTTTTTTTTTTATATTGTCTATCTTGAAATATTATAATCTACTAAATAAATAGTTAAAAAATAAAAATATAAATAAATAACAACATAATTTGGTTTGGTCCAGGTTATCCAGATTCTTTCAAATTAAAGAAACTATAAATAAACCTGTGAATAATAATTTATAACCTCTTGGATATACTTGACGATAAAATACCGCGTTCCGATCTAGCAAGTTATCGGATCGTTAAAAACCGGATGCCGGAGTAGTGGAGAAGCACGTAAGTACTGTTGTGAGTTTCTAAATCGGATTGGTAATTAACGTTTGCCGGACCGGAGCAGTGGAGAAACGGCCTTACAGATAAATTTTTCATTTCCGTATTTATATCGCGTAAGATTTTTTACCATAAATGCAGATTAATGAATACTGTATATGTATCTATATCTTATAAGTTTAATAGCGTTAAAAGTATTAATAGAATTATAGGAAAGAGTACTACTAATATTAGAACAAAGACATTGTATCGGAAATTTATTTTAAAGTTTAATATATTGGAAAATAAGTAATAACATTACCTCTATTATGCTTTCTCGTTTTATTGAAATATTAGAATTATTGGGCACCGACATTGCACATCTATTTTTTAAGTACACAGCACAAAGGCCAAAGCTTGATTTAAACAAAATTGAAAATACGTTATAACTTGATGTTCAAATCATTTGAAAGTCAAAACTCCACAGAGTAGGAAGACACCTTCAAAATGTCAAACATAAACTGACAACTTCTTAGAACCGTCAAATGCAAGTTACTGTTTTAATGAAATTGACATTTGGATGATTGTATGACAATCAGATTTCATTGTCACTGATCGAAGCATCGAATGCGGTAATAAAATGGCTATATCGTAAATTTTATGACGTTTTGTTAAGCTTATACAAATAATATGAACAATTACTTTTGCTGGATTTAAATTAGCGTTTTGCGTATACAATCTCGGAAGAAGAGAAATAAGACGTAATACAATTCTTTTCTTCATATTATCTTTTGCCTCTGTGATCTGTTTTGCCTATCTATAAATAAATAAAGATTATCTTATTCAGACACAAATTATAGGTAAAATTAAATAAACTCGATGGCTCTTACATGTCGATCTATTGTACAATCAGACTTGGGCTTGTTTGCTTTTTTGGGCAAAAGCCTCCCCAACTTCCGGCTTTCCGGCTTCGTCTTATATTTTATTTCGCAATCCTACAGCTAACATAAAATATACATTATATTATTAGGTACACTGACACAGGGACCAAACATTTTAAAATTTTTGTAATACTTTTTATTAGAAGAAATTAGAATAAAAATTGTTAAATATATTTATAATATCTTTATTTAATTGTTTTTTTTTTTTAATTATTAATTTATTTATTAGCCGGATTTATTTAATTGTATTATTATGTGTAGCTATATTCTTCACTAAACGTTGTTTTGTTCCGTTTGGTGTGATACTCGTAATCAATGTACTGCTACTGGTTTATAGCGCCACCTGTGAGAAAATAACCAAACATACTAAATATGTATTTATATAATATATTATATTTTTCATATATTGCTATGTTTAAAAGTATATTGCTCTTTTAACTTTTATTGAATAATTTTAAAAAATTCCTTTCGATTAATTTATAATCACATACAATTGCAATTTTTTTTATCATAGTATGTCAAGTATACTTTTAAGATGTGGACTGCGGCAACTGGCAACATTAAATATTTATATTTCGTACTATATAGTATACATATAATTTCGTAAAAAGAACGCCGCCATTTTGACGTTTGTTAAGCTTTGTGTTCTACTGTAATAATTAACATCGAATTACGCAAATTGTTTCGTTTACGTTTGCGTTTCCGTCATAAAATTATTTCTCCGGTTAGATAAGTGTATGAATTCATACGCATACGGTAATCCTAATTTCCATTTCCCAGCGCATAAATCAATACTTAGCCAGTGCCGCTTTTTTTTATTTTTGCGATAGTTTTAATTCGATAATCAAGTGTTTGTACTGACTTTTATCGGATAAGTGTTATTTTTTCCTTAAATTCACTTGTTTTATAACAGTGTACAGTGAAAAAACTTATTTGTGTAAAGTGAAAGAAAAAGGCGCCAACCCAGTCGCCAAATTTTGGCACGAAATAAATTTCGATAAGCTAGCGCAATGTATAAATATTTACGTTTATTTGGCTTTAATGTATTAATTAAGACTTTCTAACGCTGCAGTGATTGTGTAAGTTATTTTTTTATTACTTTATTTTTTCAAATAGGATTTTTACAAGAATAACATGTAAGGCCTAAATGAAGCTTAATCAGTCAGAAATAAATATAATTTAATAAGAGTTCTTTTTTGATTTCTTACTCTGATAATTATGAAATACATTAGGAGTGAATCGAAAACTTTCAGAAAATCTCATTAGAATTGCGATGCGGCTAAGAAGTAAAAAGCGGGAGCGACGGCTCTCAAAAAGAATATCACAGAAAGTGTTGAAAATCAAAGAGAAAACCCAGATTTTGGTTAAAAAAACCAATTGGAAGAAAACTTTAAAGGATGATATATTATCATCTGAACTACACTATACAAGATCGCATAAAACATTAGGGCTACGTAAGTCAATCGTGAAAATGGAGAAAGTAAAAAAGGATGAAATTAAAAAGCCAATTTTCCAAACTGTTGTTCGGAACCCAGTGAAAGAAACAGTTACATCTTCCACATCTGTCAAAGTAAAAGAAAAACCGGCAAAACCAAAGTTGAAAGATGTAAGGATGACAAGAAGCGTTCAGCTCAGGCAGAGCTCATTAAACCGTGAGCGCAAGCCAGAATCTATGTCCTCAGCCTTAAGCTCACCCCGTAAAACAAGACGTATGGACAAAACAGAGAAGTCAGCTTCATTAAACAGCTCACCTATCCGCAAAGTCAGACAAATGGGAACACCAGCTCCCCGTCTAAACAAAATAGTAATTTCATCCACAAATGAAAGCCCCAAGAAGAAGGTGAAACCAGACCCAGAACCAAGTTTGGAGGACAATGATATCACTATGTATGAACCTCACACAACAACTTCCGAATTAAAAACTGACGAGTCAGATTCTGAAACACAAGTTGAGTCATCGGAACTCTGCCTTCCCAGTGATTGTTTGAATGATTTTATGACTTTAGAGTGTGTGTTGAGTGAAGATATCTCCACGGATCATGATATTAATTTATTGGCTGATAGAGCAGCTAGAATTATGACTACAGAAAAAATTGAGAAACTGCACAATCCAAATGATCTTGAAATGTATCAGCCGACATCGACAACTGACGATTTAGATGCATGCACAGACTTTCTGAGTACCGATGAAAAATATATTCAGGTGAGTGTTCCAAAATAGATTTACAATGTATTTATTATGTTTTCAACAGCAATTTTCACAATTAACCTGGCAATGTTTTTAATAATAGTGCCCATGGGCAGCAACTTAACATCCTCCTCCTGCCCATTTGCAAACAAATTCATTCACGGGAATTGAATGCATAACCATATTTAAGAATTCTTATCAAATAACTAATAAAGAACTCAGTAAATAAATAACTTTTTGGCTGAATAATTTCTATGCAAACAGTTTTAATATTTACTTCGGGCCTGACAGACGCTCTCAACAGTTAAATACACTCATTAAAAATCAGTCCAGGTGTTATAATTAGTACAGAATTCTCTGTGTATAAATTTTTGACAAGAAATTAATTGTATCGGAAAATTAAATTATTTATGTTTTTTTTTTGGTTTAAACCTTCCCTGGACTTCCACAAATACTAGCCTTTAGCCAAATTGGTCTGTCCATTCTCCACTTAACAAATGAGCACTTTATTATTTATTTTGTCATAAACATAATTTATATATAACAAAAAACAATTATACTAAAGATATAGCCGAGCCAAAAATATTTTACATTTAACTAAGTAAAGTTGTATGTTTCTGTCTGGCGGTTGTTTTGATTTGAATTCCTTTGACAATCTTATTCTTGAACCCCCTTGTATTTAGTACCCTAAGTAATATTAAGGAGGCGCATTGGCGCGCGGTACACATTGCGGGGTACACATTGCAGAGCGATATAAATATGTAGAAACAAATTTGGAGCTGTTTTAAAGTGAAGCTGTGATTCGACAAGTTAAGTAACTGAAATCCATTCTCCAAAGTATCCTGCTTTGGAACTCCTAACCTCTTGATCTGAGACGAGCTCAGTCTTTCTTCTAAATATATTTAAAATCTTCTGCATAATAAGCTACTTTTATATATAATAATTGTCACTCCTAAGATATTTGATTTTTTTTTAATTTCAGTTTATGCTAGTTTTAGTTAAAGTTACTTTTTATTTGTGCTCTTCTTCTTGTACTTTATTACCATCTATAGTTTCTTTTTTTTTATTTTCCATATTAGAGTTGCCTGGAAGAAATCGCTTGGCCTCCCGTTGCCTTAACCTATGTAAGTTTAAAGTAACAAAGTGTAAATAAATAAGTTATACCTAATTTGGCTGTGTAGTGTGGTATAAAAGAGAGGGTATGTGGAGTGTGCTGATGATGCTGCTATGGATATTCTTAATACTTAAGCATATTCCGTGATAGCCTAACCTTGAATAGTGGTCGTTGTATGGATTTAGCCGGACTTCGTGACAATGCTGGAGCAGGGGTCCTACATCCGGGACTCGGAGTGTGAGATTTCGTCCACCTGTGAACAAGGCGCAATTGAGAGTCTCGAAGCCCTATCAGCTAGGAACCCTAACACGCACTTTTTGGCTGAAATAAGCCAAAGTTTGGTCACCGAGGCCAATGGATGGGTGAGCTCTTTGATTATTTTATTAATTAAAGGCCGGGAACGCACTCATGAGTCCTCTGGCATTGAGTATCCTTGTCGGTATCAGGTCAGGCCCGTTTGCCTCGTTCTATAAAATATATCTGTTTAAGAATCTTCAATTAGGTCGTCCTAAGATATATAAGTCTTCCTTAAGTAGGTGATCAGCCATCTGTGTTTGACAAAGCCTAAGGCTGGTGCTTGACCGTACGAGCGAGGGTATAGAAGAGGATTTGTGCACAGCCAGGTTTCGAACTTACGACCTCAGAGTAAGTACCTTCCAGCCGTGTCACCTCAATGTCCCTTCCACAAAAGCCTTTTTTGTACCACCACTATGTGGAACCAGCTGCCCACTTAAGTATTTCCAAACCATTCGACTTAGGGTCCTTCAAAGAGCGTACCAATTCTTATAAGCTCGGCAACGCACTCGCAAGCCCTTAACATCAGATGAGCCTCTTAAAAAAACCTTGACGTTAAGGAACTTTCTATCACCTATGGAACCAGCTTCCAGATTTCCGACACGACTTATCCTACTGCAAAGAGCGTACCTCAAAGGTCGGCAACATACTAGCAAACACGGCGCTGCAGGTCCATCTACCAGTTCGCATTACCCGCCACCTCATTTGCCTTCCATAAAAATAATTTTTCCTCGCTGTATTACTGATGAAAGCACCAGCTCTGGGGACCTTGGGTCTTAAATGTAAAATTATTACAGAGCCCAGACATTGTCTCTGATGAGAACTCCTTGACGTGTCATGATGAAGTACCACCAGACATAGAGGTATGTACACCTTGGTTTAATCTTAAAATAAACCAGATCAAAGTCATCTTTTTTAAGAGATTTTTTTAATTCTTTAATTTTTTTTTAATTTGGAGTCTATTCAATGTAACATACAGTGTAAACTCTTTAAATCCTCATTCGTTATAACGAAATACTCTATAACGTAAAAATGAGTACATTTGTTTGGTTTAACACCAAACCCACACATTAATTCACTCTTAATAACGCAACACCCATTCTCTATTACGAAGAAATATTTTCATATTTAGACATCAACAACATACTTAAGTATAATTGATTTATAATCAGCTTACAAAACTAACCCATTGAGGTGCCGAAATTTCTAACAAAGTCACCTGAGGTCATAAACAGCCGTCTCGCCTTTGTTATTGTTAATTGCATTAACACGTGTGCCATTATTCTTAGATTATATTGCCTGTAGGAAATTTTGGTCTCAGTTACTAAACGCACCATGATCACCTATCTATTATATAATATATTATTTATAAATGATTGTAATTGGTTAATTTTTTTTTTCTAATATAAATAAAAAAAAATTCTCCGTATAACGAAAAAACATGCTCGGTCCCTTGAAATTCGTTAAAAAGAGTTTACACTATATAATGTATAATAAAAGATAGATAATTTATTATATGTTGTTCAGGATGAAGGAGATGTTATATCTTCGTGCAGCACAAGAGTGGATTGCGAGCAAATGCCATCATGGGCTGAGGCGTTCGACCCGTATTTGTATATAAAGCAGGTAATTATAGATATATATAATATATATGTGGTAACTATACAGTTAATGACTACCTAGAAGACAACAACGCGTGGCAATAGTTCTAGTCATATTGTTATTTTTTTTTTGTTATCTTTGAAGTGTTGTGAATATGTGTGTAATGGTGGATGTGGTAAATCACAGAACATATTTTTTTTACTTAATGACGTTGTTTTATATGATATTTATCCTTTGAATAATTGTAATGTAGAGGGAAGCTAAAACTTGCTGAGTTTCTTGCCCGTTCTTCTCAGAACAAGGCCTCCTGGTAGTTTCGCGAACGGATGGCGTAGTTTTGCTCTTTCGCGAGTTTAGTAAACATTTTTGACATTTAAAAGCGGAATAATTAAAAATTAATTAATTTAATAAATGAATCCTAAAATTAAACTTCAAGACACCAATATTTCGACAAGATAGCGTCACCGATTAAAAGATAAATCAATGGCGCTGCAACCTTTAGGGCTGGCCCTCAGATATCTGAATTATGATTGCCAATCTATATAGGCAAGGTGATCAGCCTCCTGTGCCACACGCCGTCGACTGTTTGAATCTACGGCCTGCCTTACGATGTTTTCCTTCACCGAATGTTAAATGCGCATTAAAAGTCCATTGGTGCCTTGGTTCTCCCTCTCTGGAGGAGAGTCGCACGCACGTCACTAGGCCCACACTGCTCTGCTTTACGTGTTAAAGCCTTTTTTATTTCGATAACCTAAATTCCAAGCGCAAATTCGGCCCCACATGGAGTACTGTTCTCACCTCTGGGCGGGAGCTGCCCAGTACCAGCTCCTTCCGCTTGACCGTATAACAAAGAGCGATAGGAATCGTCAACGACCAGTCACTTTGTGTGCGTCTTGATCCCTTTGCGTTGCGTAAAGATGTTGGGTCTCTCTGCATCTTCTACCGCATTTTCTGTGGAAAGTGTTCAGAGTAGACAGAATACGAAATTCCACGCTTATCACCTCGACGTCCGCCGTTCCACAACTGAGCGTTTAAAGGCAGTCGGCACCATCACTATATGGAACCAGCTGCCCACTGAAGGTCCTTCTAGAAAGAGCGTACCAATTCTTAAAATTGTATATGTTGTGTATGTATTAGCTGCACTAGATAACTGAGTATATGAGGGGATGAGACGTATGATGGGGCCCATTAAGTAAAAATTGTCACGTTGTACTCAGTTTTCGAGATTTTTCAGCTCAATTAGACGTTGTATATGTCCCGCTAATGGCCATAGGCCTCCTCTCTAAGGCGAGAGGGAACGGTCTGTAGTCCCCACGCTAGTCCAATGCGTATTGGAGACTTCACATTCATCCATAGAACATAATATCTCTTGGGTCGGGGGTCCGTGGCGTTTTAGCCCTGCCACCATATTGTTACGCCAATGCCTATATCCCAAAGCTCTACATATGTACCCTAACACATAAATAGTGAATATATATATATTATATATGTATGGTATGTCTGTAGACACCTAAGTAAAAGACGAAGCCCTACGGGTAAGACCAATCATTGCGAGCCTTCTGTGAGTGTCCATGGGCGGCGGTATCACTTAACATCAGGTGAGGTCTGTTCGCCTCCTATTACATAGATATCTGAAGTCGTACGTTTAAAAAAAACCCTCCTTTAAAACCCCTTAAACATCTTGATTCCTCCTAAATTTCGAGGAAAACCGCCAAGTTGGCATCACTGACGCAACGAATATTTGTTTTTATCCATCTGCATTTAGGGAACGCTTTTGGCAGATTGATAGATAGATTATAGATCGATCGATAAATTGATATTGACACAATGTCAATTAACAACCTCTGAGATGGTTAATTGTCATTGCATTTAAGGCCGTTTCTTAACGGCAAATGACATCATATTCTCTAACGAAATATAAATTATAACTGCCGCATTGGGTTACCGTAATTGCTTGTTTGACAGCAAACGTCAGAATACGAATAAACAGTTGCGTCTTAAACGTCAAATTTTAGTTTCTGTCAAACTCTGTTAAGTTTGACAGCGTGAAGACCAGAGCCCTGACTGGAACATCTTTGTTCTTTCAGCTGCCTCCCTTAGAAACTGTAGCAACGGGGGCCCTTCGAGCCAGATATCCAGCTTTACCCCTCAAAACCAGAACCAGTCCAGATTTTAGCCTGGTAAGTACTTAGTTTTTTTACTATGATCGCTAGTGCGTTGCGAGCCTTTTAAACTTTTAAACTAAAGGTTTGAATTAAATTAGCTCGTTCAAGTATGTTTATATTTTTGATGTTCTTTTTTTGGATAAAGGCTCGTGAATGCGTTGCCGTCCTTTTAAACTTAAAGACTTGCATTGTATTTCCAGGTCCTGGACTTGGATGAGACATTGGTGCATTGTTCACTTCAAGAGCTTCCTGATGCGAGCTTCCATTTCCCAGTTCTGTTCCAAGATTGTCGATACACGGTGAGTCTTTTTTTTTACAAAATGTATATATATATAAATATATATATATTTATATATATTGGAAAAAGATAGCCCTACAATTCCTATGGCTTTACATCTCTGTTTCTTGAATATGTGATCAGCCTTCTAAGGGTCTAAGGTTTCCTCACGATGTCTTCCTTCGTACGTATTAAGGTATTACGATGTTCTCGCTACAACCTTTTAGGTCTGGGTATTATGTATCTGTTTCTTAAAAGGCAAGTAGGTGATCAGGCGTCTTTGCCGTAATTAAAAAAGAACTGGCGCTGCAACTCCTATGCCCATGAAACCTAAGAATTAGGTTTGAGCAGTGTTGGCTTCGTGCGACTCTCATCCCTGGACCAATAGACTTTCTATGTGCGCATTTAACATTCGCACGTATAAAGGAAAGCATCGTGATGCCTTAGACACAAACGGGGTGTGTCAGGCACAGGAGGCTGACCCGCCCATTAGATTGGCAATCATAAAACAGACCTTAATAAGGTAGCGCCAGTGGTATTGGTATGAAACCGTCATAGTGACGGTAGTAGAATAGTGACGGATCTGACAAATAGTAAACTTTACAGGGCAGCCAATTCAAAATAATATAATCATGTTAGTTTTTGTCAAAACTATGTTAATTCATATTCTGTTATTATGGAAATTGGCATACAAGCAAACAAAAGGGTTTGTTTTTAAACAAAATAAAAATAATAACATTAAATTACACAGTTTTCTAGAATAATCACATGTTTCTAGAGACTGGCTAATGAAAGAAGATAACGAAAAAGCGCGGCAAATTCAAGTATGATAAAAAGTGGATTTTGGATTTCTTTCAAATCCGACATTGTACTACGATCGTTAGGGTTTTCTGTGTATTTTTCTCTATATAAACCTCAGAGTTCAAGTCATCAACAAATAAAAATAGGGATTGATCGTAGAGTGTGGAAATTGAGGTTTGTATGTACTTTTGTATGCTGTATCATAAAAAAATAATAACAACAAATTTTATCTAAAAAATAAAAATTTAGGGACTTGAAAGATAGATAGTAGCCGATTCTTTTACTTACTGAATATGCATACAAAATTTCATAAGAATCGGTCGACCCGTTTCGGAGGAGTATGGGAACGAACATCGAACAATTTTATATATTAGATATATCGCGATATTTGATCAAAGTCTCATTTACTTGAGCCTCAATGGGAGCCTTTGAACCTTTGGCCTTTGGGGGTAATTTGGAATTTATATCCCTTAAGTTTAAAAGATTCGACTGTAATGTTTCTAGGTTATAAGTTATAATAATAATTCATCCAAAAAACCAAATTCTCTAGACAAGATGGCGTCGCACTATGACGTAACATGCTTGTAAACACCAACGTCGTTTTTTGTGTTGCATAGTATTTCGATCAAACAGTCTTCAATCGAGTCGTAACTCGCAAGGCAGTTTGAAAATATAAAGATGATTCTAGTTGCCCCTTCCAAAAGAGGTAGTTTCGTGTGGAGAAGAATGGGCAAGAAACTCCACACTTACTCTTTTAAAATAGGTTTTACAAAATTTTGTATACATTAGTTAAATAATTATATGTGAAGACAATGTACTCCTAGAATAAAACTACTATACTTAAATAGGCACAAATATTACTTACAAATTAAGCAATGCAGCGGATATGTCAGTTATTGTATTGTTAGTATACATGTTTCTCACATCGAAACCGTACAATATTATACATTAAAGAATAATTAAAAAAAAACAATAAAACAGTGTGTGAGTTAACAATAAAATAAGAGACTACATATTTAGTAGATTTTTGTTCAAACAATTTGCTACTTTTTTCAGGTTTTCGTAAGAACGCGACCCCATTTCGCCCAATTTCTATCTCGCGTTTCGAGGTTGTATGAAGTAATACTGTTCACCGCCAGCAAGAGGGTGTATGCTGATAGATTGCTGAATTTGTTGGATCCGCAACGACGATGGATTAAATACAGGTGGGTAGGCACAAAAATAAACAAAAAACAGTCCTAAAAATATCAGAAAATCTACAACAATCCAAGAAATTTAAAAAAAGTTTAGTCACATTTAAATTAAAATCTAAGAAAAATAATCTTCAATTTATTTATATTATTAAAATTTAAAAAAAAATCTATAAATTTGTATAATAAAAAGTTGAAAGTTTTTTTATGTATGGTAGGAAATTTTTTATAAAACATACATATATGGTAGCTAATTATAACAAATCATACGTGTATGGTAGCAAGTTTTATATAAAACATGGTAAAAATTTAGAAATACGTCGCCCGTATTGGGGGTTGCGAGAGGGGGGAGGAGGGGGTAGGGTTATCACCCAACCTCTTTTACGCGCCGGAAACAGTTATTAAAAAAAAACAAAATTTAATTTTATTATCTAACCTAATCTTAACATGTAGTAATTAATATTAATTAATAGCGCTATAAAACAATTACATCTATTGTATTTTCGTTGCCCAAATTTAGATTCATCAATCTGGTTTATTTTCCCAGGGCCACCAATCTTTCCTTTTGATTTTTATCCATTTGATAAATAAATGTACTTTCCCTGCAATAATCATACCAATCATTTATAGTGGCTTGGCCTTTGCATTGTTGTCTTAATTTTTTTAAGGTCTTCATTAATCGCTGTGTTGTAGCTCCAATTTTGCGAATATGCATATAACAAGAAGAGACATGTACTAAATATATTTTAATATTTTCGAAAAGCGTTCCTGTATTTCTGGAACTTTCGTTTTTGCTTTGCAATTTCCTTTCGTACAACACCATGAACAAAATGTTTTATTCGCTGATTTAGCAATTTTCATGGGAACACGATGTTCTACATTGCTTTTGCGAATGCCCTAATCCATTTTCTTCAGCGAATGCCACACACTGCTCATTAGTACTCAAATTTTTAAAATGTTTTGTCAAATTCCACATCATGACCACATCTTCAGTACAGAGGTGACGATCTACAACGGGCCCATCGACAAAAGCCGGTTGTCTACCAAGCATAGAACTCGTAGACGGCTCATGTCTACATCCACTATTTCCAGACGCCATCACAAGCTGTGATCGCGAGATATCAGAGTCCAGTATGTATGCCAAGGTCGTACAGTCAAAGTCCAAAAACATAGCCGAGTTTCCAAAAAAATCCAAATAAAATAAACGCAAAAGCACATTTACGTAAACTTGAAAGCAACGAAATGAATCTGTCAGTGTAAGTTTTGTCAAAATCTACATTCAAAATGGCGCTTTGCGTTTCGTTTCACATGTTCTGTTATACACGCTGCTATAGAAAAGTATAAAATGTTCCGTTTAACGAATTTCAATACAATACACAAAATTACTTGGAGGGGTTCCAATCAAGGTCCCGTGAGACCTACATAATCAGTATCATCAAATTCAGGCGACGTATTTCTAAATCCAACCCTAAAACATACATATATGGTAGTAAGTATTTTTATAAAACATTCATATATGGTAGTAAGTTTTTATAAAACTTTCATAAATGGTAGTAAGTTTTTATAAAACTTTCATAAATGGTAGTAAGTTTTTATAAAACTTTCATAAATGGTAGTAAGTTTTTATAAAACTTTCATAAATGGTAGTAAGTTTTTATAAAACTTTCATAAATGGTAGTAAGTTTTTATAAAACTTTCATAAATGGTAGTAAGTTTTTATAAAACTTTCATAAATGGTAGTAAGTTTTTATAAAACTTTCATAAATGGTAGTAAGTTTTTATAAAACTTTCATAAATGGTAGTAAGTTTTTATAAAACTTTCATAAATGGTAGTAAGTTTTTATAAAACTTTCATAAATGGTAGTAAGATTTTATAAAACTTTCATAAATGGTAGTAAGTTTTTATAAAACTTTCATAAATGGTAGTAAGTTTTTATAAAACTTTCATAAATGGTAGTAAGTTTTTTATAATACATTCATATATGGTAGGATGTTTTTTATAAAGCATATACAATATACATATATAGACACAGAAAATAATATAAAACTACTATGTAATAAGAATGGGCACCAAAATTTAAAAAAGAAATCATTTAACGTTCGTTTGTTCTATATGAATCTATTCTCAATTCATACTTGTTACTGCTTTAATGACGTCACTTAGTAAATATCAAAATTTTCAGATTGTTCCGAGAGCATTGTCTTCTCGTCAATGGGAATTACGTGAAGGATCTATCGATCTTAGGAAGAGATCTGCGCAAGACTGTCATCGTTGATAACAGTCCACAGGTACTGGTGTAACCCTCACATGGGGGTTGGTCTTAATTCTTGCTTTGCCTGACATAGACAGCCTTCTGTGCCTGACATAAACAGCCAACTAAGTGGTAGTCCTATGTTTACTTATACTAAAAACTCCATTTATTTATTTATAATATTCACAGCACAATACATAAATATATTTATATATATATATATATATATATATATGGTAGTAAGTTTTTTATAATACATTCATATATGGTGGGATGTTTTTTATAAAGCATATACAATATACATATATAGACACAGAAAATAATAATAATAATAATAATAATAATGGTATCGATCGCTTATACGAGTACTGGGGATAAATAAGGCGCAACTGCGTTTCTCTGTGAATACAAAAGATTTATTTACTAAAGAAATATCTATTAATTTACATTTAATGAAAAATATATATTTACAAATTATTCACTCACCTGTGAATACAAAAGAAACAACATTTAAAGCCTCTATTTTAGGTTTTATAAAATAAAATAATGTAATGAAAAAAATTAAAACATCTTACATCTATTATGTCAAGTGACAAATTAAACATCGTCGATCAGACGGCAAAGAAGAAAAATAAAATATAAAAGAGTTTGTATAGGAAAATATTAAATATTATGTTTTCCTTATATATATATATATATATAACATTGTAGGCTAATTACAAATCTTCACATATAGTTTATTTTTCATAAAACAAGAAGGTAAACATGTCAAATATTTTTAGTGTAAAACAAAAAAGAAAAACAGAATTTAATTAGTTGACAATGAAAGGTTATCAATACACTTCATTCATCATGGTTGAAATAATATTGTGTCAAAGCTTTCCTTGCTGTCACACTCTCAGCGAACATAATGTCAATCGTTAAGTCATTAAATTTGTTCGCCGCTCTAACCATAAAGTTGCTCCCTCTATAATTTGTGTTTACTCTGGGTACATGCAATGGGTTCATGATTCTAAGTGTTTTGTAATATGTTCGAAGGTTTATTTTGCTTACTAGCTCGGTACAATCGACCGCACCAGTAGCAATTTTCATAAGGTATATAGTGTCCGCAATATCAGGTCGTAATGATAATGGTAACATGTGAAAATGTTTACACCGGGCTCTGTTGCTCAGCGAAATTTTGGCCTTAAATTGCAGGTGTTTAAAAACTTTTCAACAATTCGATTGTAAATGGCATACTGAGGGTTCCAAATTTGCGATGCTCTAAGTTGCTTCTAACATACGAACAATATAGAATTTTCAATGTCTTGACTTGGGTAAAACTAAATGATGTTCTTTTTTTTTATTGTACAATTCACACCAATTGACCTAGTCCCATGCTAAGCTGGTGAAGCTTGTGTTATGGGTACTAGGCAACGGGTATGCATATTATAGATAGTTGACATATAAATACATATTTAAACATCCAAGACCTAAGCACAACACATGGTCATCACATCGATGTACGTCTCAGCCGGGGATCGAACTCGGGACCCATGAATTCGCAGTCAGGGGTACTAACCACTAGACCAATGAGCCGTCAAATTAAAATTAGCCTAGCATTTTGGTTGCTTTACTATATATATGTATATCAAATATTAGCTTATTATCTTGCAAAACTCCGAGATCCCTAATAACATCGGCAGCCTCTAAAGCAGAATTTTTAAATTTATATGTTGTATTGATCTTATGACGTTTCCTAGTGAATGAAAATCATACAAAAGCATTTCGAGACATTCAAGTCCAACTTGTTACGAAGACAGTAATTCTCAAATCGATTTAAATCTTCCTGTAGGTCTAATGTATCCTACCTGGTTGATATTAATTTCATAATTTTCATATCGTCCACATATAGTAATATTTTAGAATATTTAAAACATGATAGTATATCGTTCACAAATAATATAAATAAGAGGGATCCCAATAAGGAGCCCTGGGGAACACCCGAAATAATAGACATCCAATTAGATGTATATCCTTGTAAAACGACCGCTCGTGAACGATTGTCGACGTATGACTTGAACCAGCGAGACAGGTCGCCGTGTATACCCATGGATGTCAACTTGTTAAGCAAAATGTGATGATCAATACGATCAAAAGATTTCCTGTAATCCGTTTAGACGACGTCGACCTGCGCTCGCCGATCCATTTCACTCGATATATATTCATTTGCATTAATAAGATTTGAGGCCGTAGATCTATTTCTTAAAAACCCGTTCACTGGTGAGTTGAGGCTTTACAGCGGCATACAAAATAAATCAGTGGCTACAACCTCTTTAGGTCTTGGCCTCAGATTTCATGATCATCTTTAAATTAGCAAGTAGGTCATCGGCCTCCAGTGCCTGACACACGCCATCGACTTTTTGGGTCTAAGACATGTCGGTTTCCTCACGATGTTTTTCTTCACCGTTCGAGCAAATGTATTGCGCACATAGAAAGAAAGTCAATTGGTGCACGGGGATCGAACCTACGACTTCAGGTATGAGAGTCGATCGCTGAAGCCACTAGGCCAACACTGCTAAAAAATGTATACATGTCTTTACTAAGCCCTGGAACATAACGATAAGAAAGTGTCCAATAACACTTGCAGTCTGTGTGAAGACACTCTTCTTGTGTTCTATTTTTTCACTCACTGTTTAGCACTTAAGACGTGCACTAACGCTAATTCTTCTCACTAGATCCGTGATTCAAGGAGTAGAATTCGTCGTGGGCTCCAGCAGTCTATTATTATTGTGCCAACGTCCTCTACATTAAGGTCCCGATTGAGGTCGTTATTGTGAATGTCTGGTATATTCACTATTCACTTGAGCTGCAGAAACCTGCTGATATACAATTTTTTCAAAGATCTTGGCAATGAGACGTTTAGAAATTGGTCGGTAATTTTCAATATCACATTTATTGCCTTTTTTATGAACAGGAGTAATGAAAGCTGCTTTCCATATGTTAGGCACTAGACCTTTGCATATGGAGAAATTAATAAGTAAGATAGTGGTTGTGACAAATTATCAGCACCTTCTTTAAGAATATTGGTGAAATAAAATCGGGACCACCCGATTTTGAAAGATTTTTTTTTTTTTTTTTTTTTTTTATAGAACGGGGGGCAAACGGGCAGGAGGCTCACCTGATGTTAAGTGATACCGCCGCCCATGGACACTCTCAATGCCAGAGGGCTCGCGAGTGCGTTGCCGGCCTTTTAAAAATTGGTACGCTCTTTTCTTGAAGGACCCTAAGTCGAATTGGTTCGGGAATACTTCAGTGGGCAGCTGGTTCCACATAGTGGTGGTGCGCGGCAAAAACTGCCTTGAGAAACGCTCAGTTGTGAAACGTTTAGATCTAGATTTTTCAGCAGTACTGATATTTTTAGGTAGTATTTCGACTGTAGATATATTGGAGGCACTGATTTGAGCGTGTTGTGATGGGATAGGAACGGTAGTATATGGATTGTTGAAATTAACATTGCGATACGTAGACTTAAAGTATTTAACAAAAATATTAGCGATATCTTCACCATTGCTTGCTGTTTCGCTGCAGTAATTCATAGTTTTCGGAAAAGCGTGGTTAAGTTTTAATGTAAGACCAAAAATGTTTAGGATTAGTTATCGACATTCTGTTCTGCTAATGTATTCATTGAAGCATTGTCTCGCAAGAATCTTGACACGTGCCCTGAGAAGCGAAAAGGATTCATAATCCGAGAGGTTCTTGTAAGTTTTAAACTTACGTTGATACTTAAATTTTTCCTTGATCATTGTAATTAAAGGTAATGTGTACCATTTAGGGTAATTACACAACTTATAAGTTTTCTATGGTATATATTTATCTCTTAAGGTGTATAAAATTTCATAAAATTTTGATACCGCGTCTTCCAAATCATTCGACGATAAAGTATTCTGCCAATTGCATTTTCTTAGCTCATTGTTAATTTCTTCATAATTTCCTTTCATATACATGTATTTTCTGTTATCTTCAATAGTGTCGGTAAGTAAAAACTCAGTTAAGATACATAAAGATTTGTGATGTGGGTCCTCGGGTAATAAGGGATCATCACATGCACTGACTTTAACCGCGATATTAGAACCAGATCCAATATTCTACCGTACACATTTTTTACATGATTATATTGATTAAGATTACCAAGATTCAATGTATCAATTAACTCGATTTGTTGCACTCCGGAGTAGCTCTTCGGTACACGGTAAGGGTAATCCCCGTTGCTTGTAGACCAATCTGTATGACTAAGATTAAAATCTCCTAATATTAAACATTTGTCTTGTGAGTATGAAAAAATTAATTCATTTAATTTTCGTGTGAAGTTACTTAGTTGATCTAAAAAGGATTTACCACAATTTTCAGTTCATAGGTATAATGTACAAATGTGCAGATTGTTGATAATTTTTTGTTTTTTATCTCCAGACGTAATTGTAATCCAAATGTCCTCAGCCGATGATCTCCATTCTACTCGCTCTCTTACGTTTAAATTACGATTCACTGCCAATAGGACCCCTCCGCCCTTGCTCTGTCTAGTTTTATCATAATCTCTGTCACGCCTCAAGACCACGTATCTGTTGTCAAACATTTCGTTGTTATACTAAATGCCATCAACTAAACATGTTTCCGTAAAAGAAAGAATGTCATAAGAATTCAATAAAATACTACTCAGAAGATCGCTATACTTGGTACGCAAGCCACGTTAGGCTTTGTTAGTATATATTCAAAGAATCGAGTTTAAGTTATTGCCAATGTCTATGTAATAAAATAAAATATGGCTCCTGTATTATATCTCAGCATTTTACAAAAAAATCCATATCTTGTCCTGTGAGTGTCCACGTGAATTTTATTAAATTCATTTAGTAATAGCCAATAAATGTATTTCTTCCGACAACTACTTCGCCTGTAGTCGTTATGTGCGCGAATATGAAAAGTAATAACAACATATTTAAATATTTCTATGTTACGACGACATAAGCCAAAAACAATTATAAGCACTATTATATAGTTTTATTACTTTAAAAATTATCAAACAAATGTTTAAAATGCAACATAACGTTAATACAGTATAAGTATTGTTTAAAAACAGAAAGCTAATGCAAATAACTGCAGTTTTTATGTAGTAATAAGACCAAGAACGTTTATTTACAACATATAATGCAAGGCATAGTATATTCATTTTTAGCAATACACACATATACAAAACGAAATAACGACGTAAATATATTTTAATTGTATAATAAGACAGAGAACTAATGTGAATAGTACTGTAATAATATATTACATATACTCGCAATCAATACCAACACAGTGACAGAAAATTGACTATTTTTTCTTTAAGTTGGCATTGATCGAAATTTTGTTTATATATTATCGTTAGTAATATTATTTATTGTTGAAAAAATTTGTAAGGCTTTCGTTTCGTCGTTTCTCATCCATGTTTTCGAGGCAAAGAACATATCTAGATGAAGAAGACGTCACAATCCTATTTGTTTATAATTACGAGAATATAAATAAAGAAAATTACTCAAAACGTAAAAAATGTTAATGAAATAATCAAAATCCAAATTACTTAAAATAAGCGTAAATAGTTTTCAACCAATTCTTATTATTGTTTACCACATTATTTATACGTTAATGAAGTTGCTTATCAAAGTTAAACAGTCAATTTCCTTTGGTAATTTTTTGAAGATCATTGTCCGAGCAGTGTTGGTCCAGTGGCTTCAGCAAACGACCCTCATCCCTGAGGTCGTAGGTTCGATCCCCGTGCACCAATGGACTTTCTTTCTATGTGCGCATTTGACATTCGCTCGAACGGTGATGGAAAACATCGTGAGGAAACCGACATGTACCTACTTGCCCATTACATTGAAATTGATCATGAAACAGATTCAGAAATCTGAGGCCCAGACCTAAAGAGGTTGTAGTGCCACTGATTTTTTATTGTCCGAGTTCACCGCGAGTATTGCAGATGAAGAATTTCTTCTAGCCAGTGTCTAGATGTTTGACCCAAACAAACTTTTTTGCTTTGTTTAAAAGAGTTTTGTTTTTGAAGTAGAGTGGTCATTCACACAAATTTTGCTTGACCCACGTAAACCCAATATATTTGGGTAAACCCAAATATATTGGTAAGCCATCTTTGTTGAATGTTCTACTTGACGTATCTATTATTGAAACTCGCAATTATGGACTTCGGGCTGTTCGAGTCTCGAGATGGAGTGCGGGCTACAAAGTTAAGCTGTTGCTTTATTATATGATAATTTACTTTCGAACCAATGTTTATTACCAGGTCAAGCAGGTTCTCATTAACAGACTGTGGTATTCCTTTCAATTCTACATTATTCATTCGATGCCATTGCTCTGCGAAATCCCTGTCTTCAAGCAATCCAACTCTGTTCTCCAGGGTTTTGATTGCTTCTTTGCTTTTTTCTATGTCTAGTAACTTATTTTCTATGTTAAGTAGTCGGGATCCAAACTCCTTAATAGTATTGCTGGCTTCAATCACCGTGGTTTAAAGCCTGAGAATTCCTCTCATAAATTCTACCTCGTTCTCTAGTTCGTCAAAGGCTGACATTCGAGCGGTAAGAGATTTTACCTCCTCCCTTAATGTTCAGGCAGAGGTGACAGTGTAGCTGTACCCGGCTGTTGACCTCCTGTCTTGCATTTTGGACATCGCCATGTAGAATTCCGGTCACCCAGTTTACGGTAGCCCCCTTCCGTGATCCCTATGCAGTTAGTGATATATCAGCTTGCACAAGCATTGTGCACCATCACCACCAAAAATTTTCTCTTTCATTCCCCGCATCTCGACATGATTAGTTTATAAAGACGAGTTTGAGAATCACTGGTTGATATTAAAGGAGCGAAACGTCCGCATACTACGCAATAGGCGATGCGACTGACTAACTAGTAACTACTATATTTAACCGGAATAGAACGTGTTTATTTTCTATAATCTAATTATGAGATGTAATTCGTTGGCAACTGTCATATTTTTTCAATACACACTAATTAATCAATACACATTTTTAATCCCCCTAACGCGTTTCGTTCGAGCATGGTCACGTATTGATACATGGTCACCAGACCATGCAGTGACCAGCTTTGAAGTGTTATTCCCCTTAATTACAATTATATTTTTATAAATTAAATTTAACCCCTTCTGTATTCCAGGCCTTCGGCTACCAATTGGAGAATGGTATCCCCATAGACAGCTGGTTCGTGGACAAGAGCGACAAGGAATTACTCAAGCTGATACCATTTTTGGAACATCTTGCTACTGTAAGTAAACTTTTTTTAAGGGCAGGAGTCTGATGCTAAGTGATACGCCCATGGACACCCTCACAGTCAGAAGGCCCACGCATGCGTTGCCGGCCTGAGAATACGCTAGTATTGTAAGATATTGTGACAAATTCTGATGAGATAAATTAAGTAAACAGTGACCATGGATTTGAATAATCGGATAATTGACACAGTCAATTTCTAACATTACTACGAGTAAACTGATTAAAACTGTCAGGCACCAAATTTGACACCCCTGCTGATCAATCCTCGGCCTGAGGGAGCGTTCAAGTACTTTTAGGTATAAAAAATCACTAGGTGGTCACGAATTAGTAATCTGAGGCCCAGAACTAAAAGGTTCTAGCGTTGGTGTGGTTACTACAAAACCTCATTTGTTTTTTTTTTTCAGAAAGATGATGTCCGACCATACATACGCGACAAATATAAGCTGTTCAGTTATCTACCACCCGACTAAGTATACATATATACTTGTATACAAACACACATATATATAGAGTTAACAAAGACACTCTTACATTTTAACTATTTTTATCATATCTAAACACTATCTCCAAGTAAATGTTATTTAAGTAACGTTTATAGTTCCATTTTGTATAATTAAAAACAATATACAATGTGCAGAGGCGAGTTTTAAGTCTTTAAATACATTAACGTTAGTTAAGCAGTGTTGGCCTAGTGGCTTCAGCGTGCGACTCTCATCCCTGAGGTCGTAGGTTCAATCCCCGGCTGTGCACCAATGGACTTTCTATGTTCGCATTTAACATTTGCTCGCTGAAGGAAACCGACATGTCTTAGACCCAAAAAGTCGACGGCGTGGGTCAGGCACTGGGGGCTGATACTTGCCTATTCGATTTGAAAATTATCTTGAAACAGATTCAGAAATCTGAGGCCCAGACCTAAAGAGGTTGTAGCGCCCACTGATCTATTCAATTCAATTACCACTTTTTTATCATAAATCCTAAGGATTTTTCCTTTTTGTATTGTTTTCATTAGACACGAATTAATAGTACATATTGCCATCATTTTTTATTTTTTTTAACATATAAACTTCATATAGTTTATTTAGAAGAAAAATTGAAATTATTTTTTGGTCAAAAACCTCATTTATGTGACCATTTTTTAATGAAAAAATTTCTTTTGCTAATTATTTTGTCACTTAAAACCTCATTTTTTTTATAAAACTTTTTTTCTATTGAGAAAATATTTTTTTTATTGCAAAGGTTTTTTGCAACTATTTTATTGTTAATTTTTTTTTAATTGATATTATTCTTTTTTAAATGTAAGAGTGTCTCAAATTGGTTTAAAAATTATTGTAAATTAATTCGGCATATTTTAAAGGTATTATTGCTTTTGTAATCTGAGATTATTAAAGTTGTTTTTATGGAGGTACAGTCAGCAAAAAAATATTAAAAAAATAGTCAGCAAAAAAAAATTTTGAGCTGGAAAAAATATAGTCAAAAAAACAACCTTTGTTGTGCGTTCTAACCCCGGTTTTATCTATCAACAAATGGGTTTTTTTCCTATATTAATTTTCTAAGGCCTAAAGTTATAACGGTTAAACACAAACCCTTGCCGACTGTACCTTCACAGGTGCTAAGTTTAAATATATTTTATTCAATATTTTATTTATATCTTTATAATACACATATACTCTTTTAGCAATAGTTATATTATAGAAATGCTTCCAACGACTGTCTCTTTCTCTCAAATTGCATTCACAGATGAGGAAAAGAGACAGAGTATGTTAAAATTTAATAGGCTATTTGACAAGACTAGACAATTGTTATTAAGGCTTTAAAAATGCATATTACAAATAACCCCTCAAAACGCTTCTATTCAAGCTGGCGTGTCATTGTGACGTAACATGCTTGTAAACAAACATTTTTTTATATGTTTAAGCGGAAAATATTTCTATCTTCGTATTAAACCAACCAACCTTCCAAGAAAGTATTTGGCAGGCCCTTTATTAAGCATGCTACGTCATCGATTTGAATTAGTGTCACGTGACTGAGGTAAATATGTATTTTTTTATAAACGCGTGGTTATTTCCAAGTTATTCAACTCAAACTCAAAATAACTTCATTCATATAGGTAAACAAGTATACTTATGTCAACAGAAAAGATGTTAAATCGATTCTAAATTTACATTTACTACCAGTTCGAAAATCAAGGGCGTAGAAGCAAGAAGAACTGGCAAGAAACTCTCTGCCACTCTTTTTGAGTCATACAAATTGTTTGAACTGGAGCAAATCAATCCCAAAGATTTGGATCATTTAAATAATCGTTAAATTTATAAAAAGATTTATTTATTAATTAACGTTTAACAAAGTTTTGAAGTTATTCACTCCATAATGCTGTATAACCATGTATACAGATTACTCTCAGTAGCACTTTGTGACTGTCAAATAGCCTATTGAACTATGGAACTCAATGGTTTTCCTTAATGTAGTATAAGGTCGAACAAAAATTGTTTTAAGAGGCTTGAATGTTCAGTATTAAAAAAAAAATGGGGTGTGACAATTTAAGGTTGGTTTAAGGGAATTAAAAAAAAATACGAAATAGGTAATAAGTAATATCGCATCTGGATTGTTTTTCTAGAGATATCTGTATTGTGTAAAAAAAAATGTTGAGGGTACTTTCGTTTATTTTGACGTTATTTCCAAAAAAACATTTAAAATAGCAATTTGTTTACTATTATGGATTCTCTAACTTAATACAATGGCAGCCCAAAAATTGTTCTTTGGCGTTAGAACCCCCCCGTATCCGGTTGAGTCGGACATAAATCCCCTCTTGTGTGTGTGAAAAAAAAATACGTGTGGCACTCGGAGACTGCCGCGGTAAAGCTATTGCATAGCATTTTTTATAAACTTATGCAATATTATTATTTATTTATTTTTTGCAGTATTTTTTTTCTTTGATATTAATTCAATCTACCACTCTACCAGACTCAGACTTAACACGCCTATATTACGTCATCGTGTGTTAGGTTTATTTCGTTACGGAATTTGTTGATTCGGTCGCCGCGCTCAAAGCCCGCGATAAAATCTATGCAATAGCTTAAAAGGAATACTAAATAACTCTTTCGTCTCTGTTTACGCTGAGGGTAGTTTTAAAATTTCATTACTACAAAACTCAAAAAAATAACCAAAAATATCAGAAATATTCATTAAAAATAAGGTACTTTAAATTTTTGCAGTTAATTTATTTAACTACCCTCGCAAACTTCGTTTCGCCTTAATATGATTGACATCGTCGTAGCTACATATGATTTGCTGGGCCATAGAGTCTGCTTTTCCAGTCTTCTTCGTAATCTTACTGAAGGTCGTACCTATCTTTAAAAGCCCCAAAAGACATCCACTTGATTCAACACCACACCATCCTCAGTTTGTGTGGCATTAGGGATGTTGAGACTCATAATTGTCTTTATTTGGTCAGACCAACGGGTTGGCGATCGACCCCGCCTTCTGCCAACACCCTACCATTACCAGTTCGTCCGCAAGCACCCGTTTCTAAATGATAGTCAACCGGTTATTTTTAGTTGGTTGCGAATGGTTCATTTTGCCGACCATGGTATTTCATTCACCTCCTATACACCTCGAATTAAAAACTATAACAGAAGAGACCTACCCTCCTTTTTCATATAAGTAATATTTTCGTAACTCGGAGACTTATTTGTCAATAGCGTAACCCCAATTTGTCAGAGACGAAAGAGTACTCAGAGATAAGATTTTAAAATGAGGGTATTTACGAAAAATTTACATTCTTAATAATAGTATAGTAACTTCCAGCAACGCTACTCCACATTGCGCTTCATTTATCACAAGGCTATATTATCTACAGAGCGAAGGTGAAGGTATCTTAGATATTAGTAGTTTTTCTGGGCATGTTGGACACTGCCCGGTGAACTTTTGACCTTCCGCTTTGAGTAACTGTATTTTAGATAGTAAATAGATAGTAGATCTAGATTAATCGTTATTATAATAAATATGTACTTGGAATTTTTGTTTTATTCCTCAAATACTGGGGGTATTCCCTGTCCACCTTGAAGCCCAAACCCTCTCCCCTATTTTCTTTGAAAGTGTTCCATGGGCCATTCAGCCTCCACCATAGCTGCCCATGATACAAAGCGCCAAATCCAATCTGAAGGTGACGGTTGGGATAGGGATGTGACATTCTGGATAAAAATAGATTTTTTATTAATCGATTGTTTTTTTAGTATGAATAATCGATGTTCCTTAAAAAATCGAATTTTTCCTAATTTTTGAGTAAATTTTTAATAAACACTTTAAATATTTCATTTATCATGGTTTTATTGATAAAAAAAACTAGAAATTATAAACACAAATTGAAGTTTTAGAATAATCAAAATTGAAATTAACCTAATCTCGTTTTGATAGATTTTAGGTGAAATTTGATAAATGCTGAGTGTATGCCTTTTCAGTAGCACATTGCAGTATTTTTGTTGTCTTTTTTATTTTATGTAACCTTGTGCTGCTGAATAAATTTATTTTACTTTTAAATTAAAGTATTCAATTCAAACTTGAGTTTAACTGAAATTAATTGGTTTTATCATCCTTTCGATGTTTTATAAAAAAAACATCAATGCATCGAGAATATCAATACATCTTCAAAGCATCGGATCGACTCAATGTTCGCATTGTAAACATCCATGTATTTCGAATATATATACTTACCTAATAGTTCGAGGTCCGGGTTATAAAACACAAGACAATGTCGGGAGGTGGCATGAAAAATCGACCATGAATCATTTTTAATATTAAAATCGGGTACAAAAATCGAATTTCACTTTTAAGAAAATCTATTAACTTTAAACGGTTGGGTAACACTGTTCTAGACATCAGTCAAAATTTCTGTCGTAATATGCGGTTACTGAGTCGTTCGTAAACAGTGAAACAATCGTAAAACGAATACGACTGAAGATGCTCTAATTAGATAATATACTGTAATGTAGGGGAAGAACGTTACCCTTCGTACGCGGGGCACATTCATACAGTCAAAATAAAACTTGAACGAAACAAAGTACAGTCTTGTTTTTGTATGTGTGCATGACTCGACGTACCAACTATACATCAACGAAGTTTCGTGAAATTCGCGACGCGATGAGAGTGAAGTTACAGGCATGGACGTGTTTTCGCGCTCGGTAAGTAATTTTTTTATCAATGTTTTTGTCTCTTGTTACCGTAGATAAAATAAGTTTTCGTGTAGAATATTCTATCAGTAACTAGCAAAATATACTTAAGATACGTCTCCAATACCTACTTAATTTATGACGTTTTCCTATTAATATTAAAATAAGTTATATTTTGTTGTTATTCAGTTAGTGGGGTACTTTCGGACAGCACTAGATGGGGCTCATTTGAACGAATTGTACAACTAAATTTGTATGAAAATATTTTGTCGACACGAACTGTCCTTTTCATACAAATTAAGTTT